ACAGAGACAGGAGACTTGAAAGGGATCTTCCTACCACACGAGTTTTGTATGCTGGAGGCCCAGTTATCAGTGGGACATCTTCCTTTCTCCCAAATGGCTAGATCGCAGGAGCCATGGAGCTGTCTGTCTCTTGAAGAAGGGCTATTCTCCTTCAGCCTGAATTTTGATTGAACTGTTTATACTATATCCCAAACCCATTAATATTTTGAGCTCTTCTGTGTGAAAATAAATAAGGAATTTAATTTTAATTTTATTGCTATTATTATTAATAATAATAGTTATTATTAATAATATTAATTTTATTACTATTATTATTACTTATTACTATTACTATTATTATTATTTGAAAGTGAAAAGGCAAGAAACCAAGTCCAAGACTCAAATTGTAGTTGACCACGTGGGAGTCCAGTGACTTAACCACCATGCTACCTGCTGGTCCCAGAAGGAATTTAATGCCCTGGCGTTCGTAAGTTTTATTGATGAGATGATTTATTTTATTTTAAAGGTTTGAGGTGACATTTCTGGTGGTACCAAAGAAGAAATAAATATGGTTTCTTAGAAAAATAATAACAATAACTTTCCCAACTACCAGTCATGCCTTGTGAATGTGGCTCTCAACTTAGTGTGTCTAGTATCTTTACAGATAAAATACATTGCCACTCCTCATCAGTAGGGGGCGTTTGTAACTCACAGTCAATAATGGTATGCCCCTTTGTGCTATTGCAATCCCACAGCACATCTTGTTCTCTGACTGACAACCTGATCCTGCGGACTGATCAGACTGATCGGCATCAGGACCCCCTGACAGCAGTTGGCCCCTTGTCGCCTGGCTCGGCCTATCAGAGAGTGTGGGAAATATTTGCTAACCAGTCCAGGGCAGAAAGGGACACTTTCCTGCAGGATGTTTTCCCTGAGGGCTTCCTCTGGGGTGTCTCCACAGGAGCCTTTAGTGTGGAAGGAGGTTGGGCGGAGGGCGGAAGGGGGCCGAGCATCTGGGACCAATATGAGCCTCTGAATGCCATCAAGGGCCAAGTGACTCCAGCAGTGGCCAGTGACAGTTATCATAAGTTGGCCTCTGATGTTGCCCTGCTCCGAGGACTCCGGGCCCAGGTGTACAAGTTCTCCATCTCCTGGTCCCGAATCTTCCCCACTGGACACAAGAGTGAACCCAGCCCCCAAGGCGTCACCTACTACAACACACTGATTGACAGCCTGCTGGACTCTGGCATCGAGCCCATGGCCACACTGTTCCACTGGGACTTGCCTCAGGCCCTGCAGGATTGCGGAGGGTGGCAGAATGAGAGCGTGGTGGATGCCTTCCTGAACTATGCAGCCTTCTGCTTCTCTGCCTTTGGGGACCGTGTGAAGCTGTGGGTGACCTTCCACGAGCCGTGGGTGATCAGCTACGCAGGCTACGGCACTGGCCAGCATGCTCCAGGTATCTCCGACCCAGGCGTGGCCTCTTTTAAGGTACGTCCATCCCCGCAGCGCCTGCTGACTGGAGGAGAAAAGACATTTGGCTGGAAGAAAGTCATTTTTTTCTGTCTCTTTCCTATTGACAAGTATTTATTTTTTGTTCTTTAGACAATATCAGAGGAAGGGCCAGCCCCACTGCTTAATAGGTGAGGGAGCCAGATCCCACATGACCAACTACAGTTCGAACCCCAGTCTTGAGACTGAAAAACGTGCTGGTGCATGTCAGTTATGCCCGAAATCCTGATGGGATGGAGAAATGGAGGGAAAAAACTGTGGTGTGACTGCGCCTCACTGGGGAGTGCTTTCTCTCACTCTTCTCATGAGTGTACATGCCCTCTGGTAATTAAAAAAAGAAAGAGAAGAAAAAGGAAAATCAGAGGGAGAGAAGGAACCATAATTTGTTTTTTTGGAGAGGAGAGATTTCGGCTATAGGGCACATGGGCTCACCAGAGAGACAGAAAGCAACAAATCCCCACCCCCACCCCGCCAGGTGGGATGGCCATGTTGCAATCTCTTCTCCATTCTCCTCTTGAGATCTTGAGCATGCACCCACATATGCCCGGCATGAGTTATAAGTCTCTGGGTCCAAGACTTGAACCACGGTCAACTATGTGGGAGTCCAGAGATGTAACCATTATACCATCTGCTGGTCCCAAAACGGAACCATAATTGCTAATCACTTGATTGTATCCCGACACTGTGCTGGCACCCTAGCATCAGTTCTCAGAATAGCACTGATGGGTGAGGGAATTTGGGCTCAGAGAGGATGTACGATAAGCTCATGCTGACTTCACTCTGCGGGTTGCCAGCCAGAAGCCAGGATTTGAGCCACTCAACTCCAAAGCAAGTTCCTTCTCTCACCCAGGACTCTTAGTTGTAAGCCACAGAAAACCCAACCCAAACTCACGTAAGCAAGGAGGGAATTTATAAATTCAGGGAACTGTAAAGTCTTGGTTTTAACTTGATCAGAGCACAAACAGAATCACCAAGGCCTAGTTCTCCCTCTTGTTTCCCTTCTTGGTTTTATTCTTGGGCCACCTGATAGCAAGACAGCGACAGCTCTGCTTGTATTTCAAGACCAGCAGGAAAGAAAGCTTGCTCTGTTCTGGCATTCGCCACCAGTCTCCCATCTCCTGGTCCTGAGTGGGCCTCATGCACCCGTCAGCCCATTGCTGGGTGGGTCTCAGTAAGGGGACGGGGTGACTGGTTTGAATCAAGATCCCATCCTCAACCCTTTAACACAGGTTGAAAGGGGAGGAGCTGGGGAGTGGAAGAGGGAGAGAAGGCTTGCTTTCCAGAGAGCAATCCAATAATTTCACCAAGAAGAGGATATATATTCTGGGGACAAAATTTTAAATGCCTTCATACAGGCCTCCTGCCATTTCTCACTTTTTCACCACCTCTCAGAAAGCCCTCCAACTTTCCTTGGCAACATTCTTCAGGATGGATATGTCAGCTGGGCTTTCCTCTTTACACTCGGAGTCTTTTTCGAAACATGAGTATGTGCCGTGCGCTGTCCTAGGTGTTGGGAAGGTGTGCGTAGTCATGCTCTCCATACAGTACAACTTCTTGGGGGAAGATGATGCTAACCCACATAATAAAATCAGAGAACAATACAAAATGTCCACAGTTGGGGTAAGCTGGAACTCCATAAATAAAATGCCAAAAATTACAGCACGTACGTCAAGGCTTCCATTCTACTCTTGTTCAGTGGGTGACCACACACATGGAGAGAGAATCCTTCTGAAAATGGGAAGTTTGAACTGTTCATTTTGTCTCCTTGCTGTAAAACTTGCCCAAACCTTTTCTTCTCAGGCATTTTATTCCTTAAACATTGGGGCCTGAGATATTTTTACAGAGACTTTGATGAGAAAGCCCATTTCACTTTTCTACTTTGATTTTTCCTTTTATTTATTTATTTTTCTTCTTCTTTTTTTTTTTTTTTTTTGAGAGTTTTTCTCTATGGT